CTCAAACATTTCATTTTATTATTTAACGCTGGCGTCTATGGGTCACAAAATTTGTTTAATTTTTCATTTAATGTGTTTAGAGAAATAACTGACCATGGTCAGTCTCGAAACACAATATTAAGTGAATGCAAAATTACCGGTAAAATAAATTATTTAATAGAATATTAATATACTGGTTGTTTCGCAAATTTTTTATTTATTTAGTTAATTAATTAATTATTCATTAATTATTTAATTAAAATAAATTTTAAAATATATGATATATAAATTATAAATAATATCATATATAGAAACCCCATATATATCGATATAAGTGTTAAATAAAAAGTTTAAATTCAAAATTCTGACTAAAATATAAAATTAAAAAACAATTCTGTGTTCAACCGGTGCGTCCGTACGTCTGTCTGTCTGTCCGTCCATTCAGTCGTCATCCATAGGACTGGTCGGCGAATAGGAAGGACTGGCCGGTGAGTACTGTCCGCTACTGTTAGGCACATACGTGGGACTGGAGGGCGAGTAGTTGGGACTCGTGGGTGAGTACGTGGGACTGGCGGGCGAGTACTTGGGCGACGACGGACTATAGGACGGACTGGTAGGCGTGTACTTCGGACTACTGGGCGAATAGCCGGGACTAGTCGGCGAATAGGAGGGACTGGTAGGTGAATAGGAGGGGCTGGTTGGCGAATAGCTGGGAGAGGCGGGTGTGTAGCGCGGAGATGATGGGCTGTATGTGGGACTGGCGGGCGAGTAGGACGGGCTGGTCGGGGAATAACTGGGCGATGAGAGACCGTATTTACCGGAACCGGGAGAATAGGAGGGTGAGGACGGGCTGTACGAAGGACTGGTTGGGGAGTACGAGGGACTGGTAGGCGAGTAAGAGGGAGACGTCGGGGAATAGGAGGGACTGCTCGGCGAATACGATGGACTCGTTGGTGAATAAGACGGCGAAGTCGGAGAATAGGAGGGACTGGTAGGCGAGTAGGAAGGGCTGGTCGGCGAGTATGAAGGACTTGTCGGTGAGTACGACGGACTGGTAGGCGAATAGGAGGGCGATGTCGGCGAATAGGAAGGACTGGTCGGCGAATACCTATAAGTTTTGGGAATAAAAGCAAAGTTTTAGTCTTTAATTGATTCACAAAATATTGTCTCAAATATAGAGCAGACATACGAAGGACTGGTTGGAGAATATGAAGGACTGGTCGGCGAATACGAGGGACTCGTCGGTGAGTACGAGGGACTGGTAGGAGAATATGACGGACTGGTGGGCGAGTAGTTCGGACTCGTAGGCGAATATTTTGGAGACGTTGGCGAATACGACGGACTCGTTGGTGAGTACGAGGGACTGGTGGGTGAATATGTGGGACTAGAAGGTCCCGCTCCGGGAGACATCGGCGCGTAGGCCGGCGAATAGG